CCTCGAATAGTCTACGAAAATTCCCAATGTACAGAGCTGACGTTCGAAACATTCTACTATTATTTCCTTTTGTGTTAGAAGGGCTGTTTTAGTAAATTGACCTTTGGGGAACCCAAATTGCATATTGGTCATTAATGTATGCTTAGTTATAAAGGAGGAAATACGGCTATGAATTAATCTTTCAAGCGGTTTTGAAAAAATTGGCATGACAGATATTGGTATATAATTAGTTAAAGCGTTTTTATCTCCACTCTTCTGTAACAGTCTGAAGGCTTTTTGGAAAAGTACCACAGAATAAAACCAGATTGTAGATGTGTGTAAAGGCCAGAATGATGGCACCTATTACATACTTTGCAGGCCCGATCTTGAAGCCATCAGCATCTCAACATTTGGTATTTGTGATAGATAAAAATATGTTAGTTATTTGCTTAGGAGTCGCAGGAGCCAAAAATGCAGAATGACTGGTTCGGGAACTCAAGTTCAAACAATTGGGATCTAAACTGGTAAAATAGTCATTGAAGGTTTCCGTTAATTCTTTTTCTGTTATTATATTTCCATCAAGTGTTATCTCCATAATAGTCTCCCTACAGTCACCTCGCCAAGAACAGTGTTAATACGCTTCCAAAGAATGTCAGACTTTGTCGTAACATCAACGGTAAATAAACTTTGCAAGTGTACTCTTTTCTTCCTACGTAAAAAGCCTGTTAACTTTATTTCTTTGAACCTAAAATTGACGCAAGGTTTCTTCAGACCGTGTTGAAATAAAGTTATGGAATAAGGGAATTTTTATGCACATTTTCTGTCAACACTGATTTGTGACCCAGGGCTTTCTACTCTTGCGGCCAGGTTTAAGAACCTTGTACCTAAAGCATTTCTCATATGCAACCTTACACTTTTCATGAAAATATTCATATGCAGTTTCAGGGTCAGCAATACGCAGTAAAGGTGACCAATCAATAAGCGATATTTAATTACGAAATTTCTCTAAGCTGTGTGCATTTACGTCCCATACGGTCAAACGTGTACTATTTGCGCATTTAGTTGACATGGCTTGCTTACGTAATATAAATATTGGAAGATGATTGCTAACGTTAATGCCTACAACACCTGATGATAAATGTGTATTTTCAATATTAGTTATGAAGATGTCTATCAGTGTAGTTGAGTCAAGTGAAATATGAGTAGGATAATTTATCACATTTGCAAAGCCATTGCATTCAAGTATCCTGCATATATCGTAGGATCCGTGGGCAGGAGCGCGCACATGACATGCTCCCGAAGTTCGCTGCTCCGCAGCCTTTGCCTTGACATCTGCCTTGTTCTTCAACAGTGTACTCAGAGTGCTCCGTCGTATCCCGAAGTCGTCCACGACGGTCTTCGTGGACGCCCACGACGTCCGCGAAGTCGTCCACGACATTTCTCACCTGCCTCAACAAGCTGAATAGCCTTCAACTTTCTCGCAAAGTCAAGGGTCTTGCGCTTCTGGACGCTGGCCATAACTACACGAAAAGTCGACCATTCGAAGAGTCCGAAGCAGCTTTGCACACCACGCACGCAAAAGAGAAATGCTGCACGTGCAGTGGTACGTAGGTGACGCACGTATGGAAGCAACACAGCGCTAGCGAGGCGATGGCCACCTGCGAGGACAACAGCAAAAGGTGCGAGCTGTGGTTGGCTGATAAAAACTCGCAAAATAGCAACAAAAAAGTAAAAGATATGGCAAAAGGAGGAGGGCATTGGCTCCTTCGTTCCTGCCAATGGTTAAGCAGAGAAAACATGAAAGAGAGAAAGAAAGAGAAACGAAGAAAAAAAAAAGCTGTTTCACAAGTTAGAGATTTTGCAGTCCGAGCCTTCTCGCCCTTACCTTTTTTCGAGCGTTTCGGGTTTTGGCGGAGGCTTGGTGCAGCGCGGAGGTCGCTGGGGGCTGCGAGTGCCAAAGCGCACCTACCATCTCGCGCTCGTGCGCGGAGCACCGTCGCTGCGGATATTGCGGGCCGCGGCATATGCCGAAGCGCACCTTCCAGCTCGCGCGGCGTTGAATATATCCGGAGGCGGATAGAAATACCATTCGATATAAACGTGCAAATTTCTATACTTTTACAAAGGAATTTCGAGGGATAACTTATGAGTTCGATATACCCGAAAATTCTATACATGTGGGTTCGATATATCCGTGTTCAACTGTAGGTGTTTTGTTGTCACCTGCCAGCTCATAATAAGATCACTTGCTAAGGAGTTTGCTAAAGGAGATCACTGTTAAAAGGAGTTCTGCATACTCGCCGCAATAGATACAGACGGTGCTGACTGATGCTCTCATGTTTAAATGCACATATATGCCCTATAAAGTGGACGGTGGGATGACTGCCACCATAGTTCAGTGGTACAGCGTGAAACGCGTTATTTGAAGGTCTCTGGTTTGTATCGTGCTGGTGGCAAGTTATCTTTCCGTCCACCTTTATTTCTTCGCATTTACATTACAATTACTTATAATAACATCCCCTATACTTCTCTCGGCATCATTAGCCTTATCGATAGGCTATTAGTGCTGCTAAAGATACAGATTTTTTGCACTACAGTGTGGCATGAGTGATAATGGACTTTTAAAGGTGCAGTTATTTTTCACGCGACAAGAAGTAATCGTGGCATGCACAATTGATTGGCACAAAATGATCCAACATGACATAAGCACTCGGGGAATATATTAGTTCTTGTGAGGATTTGTCATAACTAGATTTTAAGGCCATGGCTGCCTCGTTTTCATTTGAGGTGATAAGGCTTAAGGCCTGTGTACTTAAATTTCGAATCGCATTAGATAACCCCAGGCAGTTAAAATTTTTGGAGCCCTCGACTACAGTGTCTCTAATAATCATATCGTCGTTTTGGGACGTTACACCCTCATAATTATTGTAATAATAACTACACTTTAACTGTTCGAGACGTACAAAACTGGTATGTTATGAAGAGTTCTTAATGTCATTCTTATTCTGTGGTTAAGAGGGCACAGTGCATTCGCTTCAAGTGCTGTAGCATGGTAGCTATCTTTCTCAAATCTGTAGCACGATTAGTTTGTAGTTTGAACTGCCTCGTATTCTGCAGTCTCGACTCATATATCTCGCAGTTTTTCATTTCTAGGCTTGTGCAGATACAGTCAACTGCCGATTTTTCGGACACCTGAATTTTCAGACATGCCCGATAATTCGGACATCTTCGCGGCACCGCCACGAGCCCCATAGAATCAATGTATAAGGAAGTCTGGAATTTCAGACGCTCGAACCCCCCGGAGTCCAATTTTCCGGACTTGTTGACGGGACGGAAGGTCGGAAACCACCACTGACCTCCAGTGGAAACCATCACAACTGCGTCACACGCGATGAGCGCACCAGTCTACTGTGGCGGCATCTGTTGCTTGGACTCATTGATCGTTACCGGAGAAAAACACAGGGCCTCCGAGATTCCTAACACTAGCCGTGTTTATCGTGCAAGGGTGCTTTGCTGACAATCAAAACTATCCACCCGGAAATTTTTTGGCGCCAATAAAGTTCCTTTTGCTTTAGCGCTTGTGCTCGTGCGTGCCACTCTGGCTTTCCTCGCAGCGCTTTCGCGAAGCGTTTCACCACTTCGAACTAAAACTAACCGCCACACACTGATTTGGTCTGGCCACCCTGGCTATCTTGAATGTTTACCAGCGCCACCTCTGGAGTACCCGAGGCACCGTCGCGCTGTTTTGTTTACGCAGCCCACATGGTGTTTGGCCACAGAACACCTACCAGTTTGGCTTGCCTAGTGCGTGGTTGTGCGACCGTGTGAAGTGTGCTCTGCAACGCTAAGCCTAGGTGCTTCCACGCTCGTCAGCAAACTCCTTTGTTCACACCGTGAGGATTTTGCTTGCCTGCGAAGGCCCCCACTCCGCCTTCGTTGTTCTCGCCGATGGCATCGAAGCGCGGAAAACAGTACCGTCGGTTAACGATGGAGAAGAAAGCCGCCATTATTAAGTTAGCGAAGAGTGGCCGATCGTAGGCTGACGTGAGCAAGGAGTTTGGCATTTCCAAGCAAACAGTTTCCGATTTAGCAAACAGCAAAGCAAACAGTTTACGAGATACCTTGACCCTCTTGATCCGAGAAATATCAATGAAATGGTGCGTTTTTTGCTTGCATTGAGAAATATTATCAAAATGGTACGTTTTTTTTTTGCTTGCATTGAAAATTATCAGTAAAGTAATGCGTTTTTTTGCTTGCATTCATTTTTTCGGACTGCCCGAATTTTCGGGCGGTTTTTCGCTCCCTAGAGGGTCCGAAAAATCGGCAGGTGACTGTAGCGCATTTTAGGTTGAAACCAAATAGTAATCTTGGTTGAATAATTTCGAATTGAGTTTGAATATCACATATACAGAAAAATTGGCGTATCTGTCATGACCCAACTAACCCGCACCATATTTTGCTTTGAAGTTGAAACAAAGCCTTTGCAAATGCCATTGTTTTTGGTTCAAGAAAAGTGAAAACAAGTTTGACTAGCAGAAGGATTTCACTTTAGGTAGAATGCAAGTGATAACCTATAAGATCTGTTGTGCTTTAAACTGTACTGTACTTAGAGTGCATAAGCTGGTATAATAAGCTTTTGAGCTTAAAAAGTGATGAATCGATGACAGGATAATATGTTCATTTGACCTTATAATGGGGCTTTGCGGCAGTGCATATGTTCTTTGATTAGGTGTTTCCACGGTTTAGCGCTTACTTACTGCAGTCAAAAACCATTACAGGGAGTTACGTACGGTCTGAAATGCACCTGGATAAGTGCTTTCACAGTTTAGCACTGCAGTGATACAACCTTTATAGATGGTTACATGCAGACTGTTATGCATATATTCGTTTATTTCGAATACTTTGAAATTTTCAGTTATACGTTTGGATCGAAGTGAATTTAAATGCTTTAATATATATTTGAATATTCAAAGCATTTGAATATTCGCACAAGCCTATTCATTTCGTTTCACTCTCTGCAGGACACTGGTGACACCATTGGAAGCGTGATCCGAGGCTTCTTCACTATTCGTAAGAAGACCCTGTCAACCGACTACCGACATCCTCAACCTGCTTCAACCTGCTCAAGCTGCCCAACTACCAGCGCAAGAGCACACTTCGGGACAAGCTTCGCTACGCCATCACTAGCAACACGGGCTTCGAGCTCTCCTGAGAAGCCCTCTTCGGCACACCCCTGCTTGAGTTTCTTGGTACGCACTGTAGGCCATCCACCAGGTCTGTTTATTCGAGGCACTTCGATCGGAGCAGCACCCCGCTCGTCCTGCAATGTTGACAACACCCATATGTTATAGGGCAAGATGTTAGCCTTCAGCACGCTGTTGCGGAATGTGCTTTGTTTTGACTCCTTTAAAGGTGCGTTGCCATAACCTGAGCCCTTTAAGGACGATGAAACCATATCCGTTTTTGGTGCTCTAAGGGCGCAACTAGTCTTCCATGACAAGTGATCCACTAAAATGACCTTTTCATTATTTGGCGGCTTGTTTTAATTTATGACGTGGCTAACTGCCTTTGAACTGAGCAGATATAAAGCCTCTCGCCTGCCTGAAGCTATTTTGTTTTGGGCCTATGTGAAATGAGGTATGAATTCGACCATTTACGCTGCACTGAAGAGAGCTGATTGTTTTCTTTATCCAGCGTCTTTTTTTTTTTTTCTTCTTCTCCTGACCACGAGTTTCTCTCTTCACCAAGGCATGTGTTTCCTTGTATTCCTTCTGTTAAATCTCGTGAATGTTTTACCTTCTTTTACAGCTGACTTGGTCATTCGATTATTGCATTGAATGTGACCGTGCACTTTTTGCATATGCTTCCTTCCTCTTTTTTCCCACTCCATACTTCGGGTTGGCTAAGGTTGGACCAGCAGTGATGCCAATCTTGTCGCTTCGATGCTAAGAGATAAACGTGCCCTCATAGCTTACTTGATTTAGATGGAGGCAAGGAGCAATATATTTAAATATCTATTTCCTAAGCCTGGCAACTGTGCTGTGAAGAAGCATCTAAAGCAATAGAGCAAATTGGTCTGTATTCTGGCTTAAAGTGCACTTCGCATGTAGGGGAATTCAGATAGCATCATTTTCTAGTCGACCACGTCGCCTCTGCCTTCACTCTATTTTCTCTTGCACATGGCATCCTACACGAAATGCGCCTGTTGAGTTTGAACGCATCAACTGTGGGTCATTAACCAATTTTAAGTGAAAAATGAAAAAACGAAGCAGTTTCTGTTTGTCGACCGAGTACAGAGCTCTACTGTTATATTTAGCTCCAAGAAAATGATCAGGGCTTTCATTGGAACAGCACTCACTTACAATTTTAAAAAGTGCTAATGACCATTGTACAATGTAACGCATGTAATGAGCTTTATTTATTGCTTAAAGAATGCACGAATAACTGTATTGTCATCATGTGGATTTGCTTTGCTTATGTTTCCGGTGTTTTGTTTCCTTGGAAGTTAAGAAACGTGGCGTCAGGCATAGCAAACAAGTAGTTGTTACATATTCCAGTAGGGTTTCTTTATCTTTGTATAATTAATTTCTTATTACTAGAAATGCACCCATCTTTTATTTTTTCCTGTTATCACATTGCTTTAAGGCCCATTATGTGGGATCAGCACAGAGGTGCTAGGAGTAAGCGATGTCGGAGACATAGTGGTGGCAACGTATTACAATTTTTTTTGGCCTGTGCCCTGTGCAGAAAGCGGAGCCTTCAAGGTTAACTTTGGTTACTTGGAGAAAGCAGTCTTTAATGGCTGGATTTGGGCAATATGCCGTGGCAATCAGTTTTAGACAAACATAGTACTAATATAATTATTACGCATTAGTATTAAGGCACTGCAGATGTGAGAGCAGCGCACTAAACGACTTGGAAGGCTCTCCTGCTTGTTCGCTGCTGATGGTATATCAGAATTAAGTAGACAAGTCTGCCGAAGTAAACATTTCACGTCTCTTTATTTGGCATACTAAGAAATGGATGGAGCCGCTTTCTACAATACTTCTAGTTCAAGTTTTGAGCCTTAGTTTTTCATATACTACAGTGAAATCTCGGTATAACGAACTTCAAGCGGTCGCGGCAATTTGTTTGTTATTTTGAAAGGTCGTTATAGTGAAAGTTCAAAGATTAATTATAAATAGTTCATTTCCACTGACCAAAATGACTTACCTTTACAAAGTGAACACTAAAAAATGCATGTTTACTTTTTTTTTCTTTACGCGTGCAACACAAACTTTGCAGCGCGAAGGCCTCCAGCTCATCCACATTCCTGTAGCGCGATTTGGTTTTTTGGTCACAACAGCCTGCTTTTTGCCTTCCAGTTGCTGAAGAACATCCACTTTCTCGCTTAGTGAAAACTGCTTCCGCTTCTTGTCGCAAGCAGAGATGAACTCACTTGTAGTAGCACCACAACACGAACGCCTACTTGCTTTGCAGACGCGATAAGTAATCACCGAAAAGAAATGGACACAACTGACAAACAAGGCCTCCTAGAGTACATGTAGAAGTGACCATGAAAGAAAAACCCGAAGCGTCGCTCGCGGCTGTCGTCGCCTCTTCCGAAGAAAAAAAAAAAGTGTTAAAAAAGAAAATTCCTTACCTTTCGTTTTCTGCTCCCTCGCTGTCTCAGGTTTTCCGCGCCCATGCTTCCTGCTCTGCAACTCCCACTCTGCCTCGCTGACCTTGCCCTCTCTTGTTGCCCTCGCCCCTTTCTCTGCGCTTGTAAACCTGCAGCGTCGGTGTTTCAACAAAATAAAGAAAAAAAAGTCGGCCTTTCGTTTTTTTCCTCTCCGCATCGTCACGCGTCTTCCGAGAATCAAGGCGTCCGTTCGCTTTGTCATCTGTTTGTGTAGCGCTTCGGTGTTCGCGACAGATTTCAGAATATGAGTTTGTAGTAATGAGGTGTTGTTAATATAACACGGAACTAAATTAACGCTCATTATTCTGAAAAGCTCGGTATTCTGAGGTACGTAGTAGTGAAATAATTTTACATTGAAACTGTTAGCAGTCGGTGCGAGATTTTTAAAAGTTCGTTAATCTGAAAAGTTCTTTATTGTGGAGTTCATTCTACCGAGATTTTACTGTACTGCAAAATCTGAGCAAAGGTAACTGCAGGCTTTGTTCATCTGAGGTGTAATGGTGGAAGCGTTCCAATGGCATGTTTTTTTAAATTTCAACAGAAGTCTGCCAATCAAGTACATCGAATTCTTGCAGTTCGTTCAGAAAACTATTCACTCTTTCTCAGTTATGGCGCGATAAATTTCAATTTATGCTGATGCAACACTGGAGATTATGTTCCATGTTTATGAAATGCAAAGTAGAAATTAAAGTGGCGGGGTTTTATGTGGCCAAAGTACAGCATGATTACAAGGCATAAGCTGGTGGAGGACTCAGCATTAAAATTCCGACCAGCAGGGCTTTTTTAACGCACACCCAAGTCTTAGTATGCAGGCGCTCTTGCATTTCAGTGCCTCGAAATTCTTGTGCCATAGCTGGCAACCAAAACTTCGCCTTCAAGCTCAACAGCGCATCAACTTGGCTGCTATGTTAACACGGCAGGTCTTTGTGAATTGTGAAGCGCGTTTATGCACCATTCAATTTTGAATCATTCCAGTTGTTCTTAGCGTACAGGTGTTTGTTATCTGGCATTTAGGCTACAGTTCAGTGATACGTATATAGCGTAATGGACAGTTAAGCGGACGACAGACATCTGAAGTCTCATACTGATTCTCGTGCAGCTGGCAAAAGTAAGCGTTTTTATCGGTTAAAGTACAGACGACACATTAATTCAGGCTAAATAATGACAGGAAAAGTAAACAAACAATTTTCAAGAGAGAACAGCTAGGAGTGTGCTAGTATTCAAACTTCCGAAATAGTCTTTGAATGGTGTTGTCCATTCGATTCAATTTGCACCGCGATTTTTCTATTCAAACTGTTCGAACTTTTTGGATGATAAATGTAACAATTATATTGACTGAAAATTGGTGTACAGCATGCGTGGTCGTGCATTGCAAAACTGTTGGCTACATCGGTGCCCTGAGCACTTGCTGTGCAACAAACTTGGCCAAGGTGTCTATTGCCAATGCATATAATGCTCATCCACAGTTCCGAGGAGCGAGCGGGCAATGCAGTTTGTTGCTTGCGACGAGGCACATTGCAGCTTATTTGCTTTCGCATGCCTTCTAGTGTGATGTCCTTGTTCAAAAAGTGCGGATTCGTCTCTGACAACGGTGCCGCGAGCGAAGTTAAGCCTAGGCATGACTCCGTCATTATGTTGTTTTGCACTAAGTAAACTTTTCGAGGAAACTGTTGGCACTGTAGAAAATGGGCAAGGCATTGTGACTGTGCTTGCTTGCACACAGGACACTGTTAGAGACGTCACATTTGGCAAAATTAGCACCGTGACTGTGACCTAGAGGTTTATCAGGCTACGATTCTAAAGGCTCATGCTTATAATATTACTGCTGCAATATTTTCAACATTTTTATTTATGTTAATTTATGTTTATTTTATTGTATATATGCACTGCACTGACATAACTTGCATGTTGTGTGCTTGAGATTACTAGCAGTTTTACGATGTTGTGTGTGTTTGTGTGGTTTTTGTGAGTGAGTGTGTAAGTGAAAGGTTTGTTTGGGGATATCACCAGGCCTTTTGAATCGATTGCACAAGTGAAAGATGCATACATCATCTCATTATCTTTGTGTGGCCTAAGGAAAGGAGTTGGAAGTTTAAGGTCTTGCTCTTCTTTGTTAGGCACAATATTGATAACTGACAGACCACGATGCCAAGGAAAGTATTTGGAATGTGATTAGAAGTAATTGCAATGTAAATGTGAAGAAAAAAACGTTGTCCAACAGAAAACTTGCTGCTGGAAGCAACTGAACCTCTGACCTTCAGATCTTATCGTTTCAACGAGAAACACCGACTTTGGCTTATTTGTCATTATCACTGTTGTGAACCCAGACAAACTTCGCACCTGGGTTGAAAAGCTTTGCTTTGGATTTATCTTCCTTGGTGAAGCCTCAGCATTAGCGTCTTTTAGCACTGACAACTTCTTGTAATGGTCCTTTATGAAGCACAGTAGCTTTCACGTTGGTGCACAATCCTTCGTAAGCCCTACCATACATGCTATGTCTGCAAGGTGCTTGCATTAACAGAAAACTAAGCTTGAAATGACAGAGCTAAGTAATTTGGTATAGGGTCGCAATTTCGAAAAAACATATTTCAAAGACGCATGAACGACAATCCTAGTTTGAATTAGATCCTTCATGTTGTACCAGACATGAAAATAAAGATTCAATTCAATTCAATTCAATTCAATTTACTTAAGCAAAACCACAAAAAATAACGCATGCACCACTTGAAGAGTGCTGACTTGTATCTATCAGTGTCCCACCTCTTATACTTTCAAAATCTGTGGCAGCTGCATCTTCAATGAAGGAAAAACTGTTCGAGGCCGGTGTACTTAGATTTAAAAATTTTGACCAAGTGGTCGAAATTCTCAGTCTTCCACTACGGTGTCTCTCATAACCATATCGTGCTTTTGGGACATTAATCCCCAGATATTATATCATTTTGTTTCCAAATTAAGTTTGACCACATTTCATGAAACACCTCTTACATGCGACTTTTTTGTCCAAATGGGCTGAAAGTTAAGAATTAGTTGTCTTAAAGCGCCAAAATCGGGACTTTTTAATTTTTTTAGATGAAGTTAATGTCAGTCATGCAGAGTTTAGAATACAAGCTTAAAAAGGTAGGAAAGGCTCTAACACAGTCAATCAAAGTGTGGCTACCAATTTTTTTACCACCAGTAAATAAATAGTCCCGCACATGCTGCCGGGCACATTTTTCTACAGTGGATTTATCAGTCATAAGACTCACAATGGCAGTCTAGTGGACGCAGCTGTTGGTGCATACACTACGAAATGCCACCACCTTTTGAAGAACTAATGTGGTACCACATTTACCTTGCTTAGTGTGGAAGCCAGAGTGATGCCAGTCGCATCAGGGCACTCGCATTAATCTATACCACACTTGGCTCAACTACTGCGAAAACTTCTTGATGTTACTCATATGCAGCTCACCGGTTGGCATGCATTGCCCAATGCCGTGTTCAGAGTCATTAGGTAACAATCAAACTCGAGGCTTCCTTGTCCCTCCTAAACAACTTGTGGTGCTTAGTTGCTCGGTTACTTGTACAAGCCTTGCTTTCCATTGCGTCATTCGCTTTCTTCTTGCAGACTGCCAAGTTTATGTTGGCATTATGGTGTTAACGGTGTTTATATTATTAATGTGGGCAAAAATCTGCAAAGCGCTCGACACTCGTAGTCAATATTCAAGCTGGATTCGCAAAAATACCAAGTATCTTGCTACTGATGTACTTTGTCACAAGTCTTCCCTGCGTAAAGCTTGTGCAAGTGCTGCAGTTTCGCCTGCTGTTACGTTGTTCCTCAATGGCGCTGCTTTGTTTATGTGCAAATTGTGTGCATACAACATGCTCTTTGCTCTTTCATGTGTGTGTCACGAAACTGCTTGTTATTGCTTCAATGGATCCTACTGGAATTTGGTCCTTGAGGATTGGTACAGCAAAATCATGAGCTATTAGCATGTCAAGAGCGTTGACATACTATTTATACATACCTCTGGTACTAGAACTCGTAGCTGCGTAATTGCACGTTTTGCCTTGTCCTATGCACTTGAAAGAGGCTGTGTATACTGTAAGTTTACTGTACCAAGTTTTATTGAGAATGCTTGCACCGAACATAAACTGAAGTGAAGCGCGCATTTTATGTATAAATATTCTACCCCTTACTGGTGCAGTTATCATTCTTTTGCTTCATGCTTCATATGCAGAACTGCATCAAAAGATCTTGAAAGCAATGTAATGTACGATGATGGGCTTGCACTGCTTTCTTTTTGCATTGTAGATAAGTGACTTGCTTCAAAAGAAGCTTGTATGTACTGTAGAAACTTTTGCTGGCTTTCTGACCTTGTGTAAAGCAGTATTTATGTCTGTGCTTTTTATAAAACTTGTGATTTCTCAACTGTACATATGGCCCACTGTAATTTGCACTCAGCATTGTTTTGGGCTGTCGTTGCACTTGTTTGCATGTAGCTTTATTTTTGCATCCATGTTACTGCTGAGGATGTTAGCTGGGGTGAAAGTCAAACATATCAGCCGGCCCAAAAAAGTTATGGTGTAGTTTGTCTGTAGTTTCAAAGCTTTCGTACTGTACAGCTGTAAATAAAAGCAATATTTACTTTCGCCGACTTACAATTTGCTTTCTGCAACTTTATTCTTATCATCGTCGCAAACATCACTGTTCACTTACTGGTAGTCATTGGCGAGCAGCACTTTCTCTGCAACTGCAGCATCTATTTTCTTACAAATGCCAAGGTGAGTCAATATCATGCAGTAGTTTTATAATCAAATAACCTGTCATCAAGCAAGCCTTGTAGTATTGGCACTTGAGTTGTTGATAGGTGTACTCGGAAAAAAAAAGACTAAAAAATACCAGGGGATACGGAACATGCTGTACAGTCACAACAAAAGCTGGAAGAAAGGCCTTTGTACAGCCATTTGTAAGCAAACTCTCTTGGTATACTTGCATGGTACCAACTGCAGTGGAAATCGAAATATTTTGAAGTAGGGAAGCTTTTACTAGGCCATTCTTCATTCTACGAGCAGAATTGCCTCCCCATTTGTGTGATCGGTGGCGATTTACAATCGGAGGAGGTTGCCGAGCGTACGGTTAAAGCGTTCTGTGAGGTCATTCGTCTGCGGAGAGTAGGCAGTAGTTTGGCAGTGAACAGAATGGCTCTCTTTGAGAATGGCTTCAATGACTTCTGGCTAGAAATAGGGCCTTGATCGCAGGGAAGCTTCTGGCATGCGCTTGTGATGCAGTACGAATTGCTGGAGCAGGAAGGCAGCAGCATCGAGCATTGTAGCCACTGGGAGAGTAGTGGTTTCCGTGTATGGCGCGAGATGGTCAACAGTGACGATGGCCCAGGGGTTACCAGCGAACGTCGGAGAAAGTAGTCTATACAAAGTGATCCACACACGCTCAGAGTTTTAAGGCAAAGTAATGATTGCAGACATGCTGGTGACAGGTGCGTGAAAGGTTTTCGTCGTTAGCGAGACAAGAGCAAACAAGCTTCTGTACGTAGTAGTAGATCCATTATCGTGTCATTGTTGAATGTGGTGAGTTTAAAACTGGGGTTAAGAGATGAACGACTCAGATATTTCAGAATGCAGGCTGCAGTTTATCACCAGCAGCTGCAGCGTTGTAATTACATCGGTGCAGTACTAGTTAATGTCTTGTTTGCATTTTTTATTGTAGTGGCTATAGGTAGGTGCTGTAACGAAATGAGACCGATGCCACGGCTGCCCCTAGGGGTCCTAGTTTCAGCCAGAGTTGTGCTCCCGAGTTTCACGGCACCATTTGTGAAAAATTGAGACCGCCGCCCCGGCTGTCCTGCCTTCTTCCCTTTAATGGAACCCCTTAATCCCTCATGATGACACCTAAGCCCTAGATGCGGCCGTCATTTTCTTCTATATTCAACAGGTGCTACAAGGGGACAAAATAGGCAGATTTAACGCAGCATGCGAATAGATGTCATGCGAAGCATGCGCAAAGTTTTCGGCATTCTATGTCTCCGTGAAGCAGACCACGTCCGCTGCGATCAGTACAGGATCGTGTTCGACGTTTTTCGCATAGGCGTTGAGGGAGCGAACGTTGAACAGGGCCAGCATGAACTCTCTCTCGAGTGTTCCTGGCTATTGGAAACGAAGTCACTAAATGTACTAGCCTAGGGAACTGGTTGATAAGGCGCGCTCCCCTCAAGAACTATAGTCGTTTACAGAATGAGAATAAATGTGAGCTCCACCTACAACTGCAACTTTCCCACCCTGAGAAAGATTGCATAGCTGGATCATCAAATTACATTTGCTCACTTTTGTGACGCCGAGTATGTTTGAGGTATTGTGAACTGGTGCTTAGATTTTCTTTATGTAGACATATGTTGGTGTAGTTGGTATTTGGTCCCAAAACGTTGATTTCCAGTGCAATTTCCACAAAGATTTTGACATCACTCTCTGTCAATGTAACGTCTCAAATAGGGACGATGAACTTTCAATTATTATCGCACACAGAATTTGTGTTAGTAGCGAAAAAGCTCTTATGGTTTCAACGGAATCCACGTAGAACGACTCTTTCGCAGGGATGAATGGCAGGCGAGCCGTACTTTTCAGGGCGTTGCTTGTATTTACTCTTAGAATGTAACTGACGGCAGTGGGCACGACGCGACGAGAGACTTGCCCCGAACAAGAATAGCTTCGCCCCTAAAACTGGACAGAACCCTGACCATTTCACACCGGTAGCTTTCGCAAATGCCCTGGCCGGCACACACCACCGCATGTTGGCACTGTACATCCACAACTCATTGTAGGACCTCCTGGGCTGTCTGACGTAGTAACGACTGAAGCGAGCAGCGGAACCAACTCTGCTGCAGCACGCAAACGGAGGTGCACCTGACTTGCACAGGTTGACATGTGCCCTTGTCGTATGTTCGTTGGTGGTACATGTCGCCGTTGTCATCATTGTCGTGTTTACCATTGTAGCCGTTCAGGACCATTCAAGTATAGCTTGCGGCTGTTCCTCTAGCTATGTCGTTGATTGTTTGTCGGCTACCTCGGCAGCCATGAAGTTGTGACTGTCCCCACCGAAGCTCTGACTGCATACGCCTCTGGTACTCACTTATCCATCCTCGCAGATGTTGGTACCATATAGCCATTCATACTCTCTCCCGACGCTGCTATGGTCCTTGAGGACAGCCGCATTGCACACACAATCAGACACGCTGGTTCAGTTCGCTCCCGTCGGCCACAGCTTCCTCCAAATGTTCGACTATATCTGCAATGCTGTACAAGAGTTCCCTGCAGCTGCATCACCTCTTTTTACAGTCTAGATTGTGGTTCATCTGCTAAAGGATCGCCAGGAGTGGTTCCCATTGAAGAAATATAGTTGCTCATAAAGGTTTGTTTCTCCTTGTTCCTTGCTTATGGACGATAAAGAGATAATCTTGAAAATGTTCATCTTCAAAAAATATCAAAGCATTAGGCTACACAACTTCGCAACCATCTAGTTTCCTACTGCTCTTGCGTAGTGGTCTCTTGCTCAAAGAATTAAAAAAAAAGAAATTGCCACATGTAGAAAAGATGCAGATTTTCTTTAGGAAATGCTTGTTTGCTAGTAGTATTTTCGTTGAGAAGAAACATATTCCGTTCTTATTTTTTGAGGGATTTTTGAGGACTTGTTAGTAATAAAAACAAAAAAAAACACTGACTACGCAAGCTTTGTGGAAACGAAAAAAAAAGGTGTTTTGGAAAACACCTTTTTGGCCGGTGTGTTCTGTTGTCATTATTATTCTAGCATTACATCTCAACCAGATAAGACTTTGTCCAATTCCCAATTGAAAAAATTTGGGGCATCTAGCTTGTGGTGCTAGGTCCCCATAGGCCACAAATGCTCTGTGGCAGCTTCCCTTTTCAAGCGTGCTCTGGGTTTACTGTTACAACTCAGTGCAATGGAGGGAATGTGATAAAGTCAAGCACAATCTCGGAGACAATGGCTACTATCGCTAACTACAATGTCAATAGGAAGGTCGCTCCAGAGATCCTCCTGGAAACAAAATAACCGACTGCAAGAAAACTGCACCTATTCGATATGCTCTCAGATTTAGTGAAACCCTCGCAAGAATATTCGCTATGATGATTCGCCTACTATGGCGTTCCTCGTGATAATATAGTGGTTTTGGGATGGTAAACTCCAATAGTTGTTCAATATTATAGTTAAGTTTCCCATGAGACAACTGGAATCCTCACCAGCAACATCTTCGTCTAACTAGATGGCAGCCCCCGATAGCTAAATGTAGACAGCCAATACATATTTATCGTTCTCGCGGCGTATTCTAGCTATTTTCTTAATAGTAAACCAGGGCGTACGGTAAACTGGCGGTTGAGTGCCGCGGAATCACCTTACAAGGAGCGCGCAACGATGCAAAGGATGAAACACGGAGCCTAAAAGGCTAGCGTGATTATATGGCAACGCGTATAACAATTAACACGCCTGTTTACATGGAAGACATTGCTTAACTTGATTCAAGTTTTCATCGGAGATTACACAGTGCAGTTAATCTCTAAGATCATGTGCGCCAGACGGTTTCAAGATTGCAAGCGTTTTACCTCAAAACACTTTCGGTCACCTCATGTACCAGCTCCTAACTTCGAAGCTGAAAGCGCGTTCTAAAGTTTTTTGCAAGGGTAAGGAAAATCTCCCTTTAGTTTTCAGATAAAAGGAGCGTGCGCAAAGTTTGAAGGAATCTCTTATCATTTTTATGTAGCTCATAAGAACATTTGTTGAATATATTTTGCCAAATAATTGAAGGAAAGTGTAGAAAACGAGCGGGCTATTTTTAGCTCTTCTTGCCCACCGATGCTATTAAGGCGCATGCATCAGCGGAAAGCACCGGAAGTCATCAAGAGAATCCGTTTACCCCAAGGCGCGCGGCGGGCCGACGCGGCCGATTGGAGAACAACTCCCCGATTGGAGCACCTCCCCGGTATATATAGAAAGTTTCTGCCACATGGTACCTGTAAAGGATAGGCTATCGCAAGGCACATTACTAGGTATTATGGCGCGTTTTTCTTTTTTTCAAGTTGCATAAATGTCTCGCTGGTACCTAATGGATTCTGAACTGATTTCGCTTGTACCAGCATGTGTACTCGATTGGTGCGGAACACTCGTAAAGCATGCGATGTAGAAGACCTCGCTCTTTCGTTGGCCAACGCGACGTTGAAAAAGCAGTTGTTCAAGGGCAAATTTCCATTATCGTCGCAATTCAGCTTTGCTTGTAATGGCAACTAAGCTGATATTGCCTTTAGAATAAAAAGGTCACTCCCACACCATACAGTTCGAAGTACTTTACTGGATCATCATGCATGCTATTAGGTTGGCAATCTCGCTTCAGTATAACTCCTTGCCCATGCAGTAGTCGGCATGCCCCATGGTGACATTAGGTAGTTGGAGAGCACCCAGTTATCTGATCTTACTTAGCAGGGCTGTATCTGGCGGCTGACTCTGCTTCAGCGGAAGGAACAGCAAAGGCGCCTGAAAAAATAAAAACAAAGAGAGTAACTGGCAGGAGGCAGCAAAGGCCTACGTGACCTCAAGAGGCGGGAACTTGTCTGTATATGTGGGCTTCCTTTCTTGTTTAATTTAGACGTCCTCTTTAGAGATTCAGCTTTCTTGTTGCGTATACCAAACTTGTCGGGAATATATCGTAAAATTGGAACAAAAAAAAAATGTTGCCTTAGTTGCTAGTTCTAGTGTGTGTGTGTGTTTGTGAATTCTTTGAGGAAAATTTCGCATAGCAGTCTTCCACTCACTCACCATGCTACTGCACCACATGTAGAATAAACACCATGTGCAATTGTAAAGTGCGTCGTTCGCGTTTCTTGTAATGGTAACGTCGTAAAATTTTAGTACCGGTCACCCTGAATTAAAGGTTAACAATCACTGTTGAATAAAAATTACGTTGCTTTAAGCTACAATGCCACCTAAAATATATATGCATGGTCCTTGAATGATGAGTCTCACGTAGTTAAGGAAACATGTAATTCAGAGAAAAATTCGCATCACTCGAAGCTAATACTTGTACGCTGCTGAATGAAAAACTTCAATTATCCTAAGAAACTCGTGCCGAACTGTCTTTAATAGCGTAACACTGCGACACATATTGTATTCAAAATTTTGATTTTGCCGTTTTCCGAATTTTTGAGACACAAACTTATTTGGTCTTACTGCAAATGAGTGCAGCCATTGCAGCAAGAGCTAAGATGATCCGTTTCCCATCCATGTTGTTCAGCTGTCGCCACACTCGTGAAGAGCTCTAAAATAAACGAAGATATTTGTTAGAGGACGTAACACGGAGCTTAAAGGGAGTTCTCAAATTCAAAGATAACATAAGCTATATAACAATAACACTCACACCCAAGGAAAACAAAGAGAACACATTCTAGAAGACATTGAGCCTCTTTCAGACAATATTCGCTTTGTTACTAACCTCAGTTGAAAGGTTGCAAGTCAGAACGGTGGTCCTACACAAAGATACGACGACCACTGACTGGGGCTTTTATAATGCCGCAGTGACAGGATGCGTGAGCGTCGAGATGGAGCATTTTAGGTCATTAAACCATGACAACAAAAACACCTTTGATGTAGACGTCCGGCAGACACATTTTTCGCTGATTCCCTATTTACCGGGGCATAATGAGTGTATACCAAGCACCAGTCTGATAGGTGACCGATGATTCACAGACAACATCCTGAACTCACTCAAAATTAAACGATAACAGGAAGAGCAGAGACGATGCAGAGCTTGCGCTAACCGTCGCATCCGCATTGTCACAAATGTGTTGCTCTTGCTCATTATGTGAAATGTAATAGTAAGTGCATTACACTTAATATTAGTAAGTAAGTGCTATACATCAGCATGATGAGTTAGAATACTTAGACACTCAGAACAAACGAATGAACTTGTGTCGATGGCAGGCTACTTAACTAAAGGGAGTAAATTGTAATTTGTGTCAATATTGAAGGTGTATATTGAAGGTGCATAGGTCCGAGCACTACTCGCACTCGGGCCTACCCAAAAACCAGGGGGCTGACCGGCGCGAGCCGGGCTCGGGCCATGAGGTGCCCGACCTAGGGCTGGGCCCGGGTTGGAGATGGCGGGCTTGGGTAGGACTTGGCTTGGACATTGCTCAACTCGTAAAGTTACGCTGAAATAGAGCACCAAATTGATTTAGAGCGACGAAGTGTTTTCTGAAAACTCAAATTTCATTAATTTCACCCCCTTGATTATGACCCAAGCACTGAAGTTTTTCTTAACTTTTTGCATACAGGGCTATTGATTCATCTTATCTATTGATTCAGTTATCTTTTCATCCCACTTTTCTTTTTTCACATTTATATTACAATTAGGCCTAGTAACTTCTCCCATACTTTCCCTGCAATATTGTCTGTTAGATCTGATTGTTATTGTGTCTAACAAAAAAAAACGAGCCCTTAAGTATACACTTCCCTCCTTGACACACACACACACACACACACACACAAATATATATATATATATATATATATATATATATATATATATATATATATATATATATATATATATATATATATATATATATATATATATATATATATATATATATTGTGAGGAACCGGTTTATTCGGCCAGGCTTGAGCTCAATCACGCTGGTGATGATATTCTTAGATGAAGAAGATGTACAGGTGATGATCATTACAAAGAGAATAAAGAGTCATTCGCTTGTCGCGCTCACACTAATTCCCCCGCGTGGTGAAAGCGGCCGCCTGGTCGCTTGACAGTATTATGAAATGCGTCGCGCATAAGGCTTTAAACGAGATACGTGCATTATCTCTGTTCCTCGGCAACGATGATCAGGACTAGCGCTAAGAGGAGAAACGCGGTAATTGACAGGAGATGTCTGTTCGACCACCGCGTGTATGGCCCAGTGAAGCGACTGATGAATTTGTCGCATAGGCCGGGGACGCGTAATGGAGTCCATAGAAGGACTTCGTTATCAGGGGAAAAACTCACAACACGGCGAGACGAGTCGTAGCGAGATTTTCGAGTGTCTTGAGAGAGGCCGGTGTTAACACGGGCCTGGTGACGGCAGTGTGCGAGACGAGATAGGAATTCTTCAGAGAAAGGAGCCGTCGAGGGTGCAGGGGCCGAAAGGAAAGAGACATCCAGAGCGAAACTCGGCGAGCGACCATGGACGAGAAAAAAACGGAGAAAAGCCGGTAGTGCGTTGAGCAGCCGTATTATAGGCGAATGTCACGAAGGGTAGAATTGCATCCCAGTTCGTGTGATTGGGGTGAATGTACATGGCGATCATGTCCGATAGGGTCCGATGAAACCGTTCAGTCAATCCGTTGGTCTACGGGTGGTAGCTAGAAGTGGTCTTGTGAACAGTGTTCGAGGCACGCAAAACTTGCTCGACAATGGAAGATAGGAAGACTTTGCCACGATCACTGAGGAGAATGCGTGGAGCTCCATGACGCAAAAAGATGTGGCGAAGAAAGAAATCGGCGATCTCAGTGGCAGTCCCAGATGGTATAGAAGCTGTTTCTGCGTAGCGGGTAAGGTGGTCGACTGCCGTGACAATCCAGCGATTCCCATTGGATGATATAGGAAGAGGGCCATACAAGTCGATTCCAACGACTTCAAAAGGTGAGGCGGGACAAGGAAGAGGTTGCATCAAGCCAGCCGGAGCAGTTGTCGGTCGTTTTCGCCGTTGGCAATGGACACAGGAGGCGACGTACTTAGCGACGGCTGAAGAGAGGCCAGGCCAAAAACAACGACTTCGTATTTTGTCGTAAGTCTTGTGGTAGCCTAGATGAGCAGCGGTTGGATCATCATGAAAAGCTTCCAGAACTTCACGTTGCAGAGAACGTGAGATGACGGGTACCCACTTGTTGCCATCGATGTGGTAAACGTAGCGACATAAAGCATCACCGACAAGCTTAAATTGTTTTAAGTTGTCGACGGAGTCTGGCGTTTGGAGGAGTAGTAGAGCCGGTCAAGCGGTCAACAATGGTGCGGCAGTATGGGTCGACACGTTGTTGTGAAACAAGAACGGATAGGGTGGCAGGTGATGAACTTAGCGCTGCGATTGGAGAGGTGCTGTTGTTTTGGAGTATCGATGGTGAATTGCTTCCGCTGGGCAAAGGACAGCGCGATAGAGCATCAGCATCTTGATGCTTCTTCCCAAATCTGTAGGCGACATCGAAATCATACTCCTGTAAGCGAAGCGCCCAGCGACCAAGGCGACCCGATAAGTTTTTCAGCGATGAAAGCCAGCATAGGGCGTTATGGTCGGTCACGACGGTAAAATGACGGCCGTGAAGATATGGTCGGAATCTTTGCACTGCCCAAACAACAGCAAGGCACTCCTGCTCGGTGATACGGTGATAGTGTAGTTCTTTTCTGGAGCGGTAAAAGCACGACTTGCGTAAGCAACGACGCGTTCGCGTGAGTTTTTGTCACGCTGCAAGAGTACCGCACCGAGAGCATGACTACTTGCGTCTGTGTGAAGGTTGGTGGGTGCGGTGGAATCGAAGTGGCACAGTACCGGATCCGACGTGAGGGCTTGCTTTAATGCCGTGAAAGCGCTTTCGCAGTTTTCGGACCAAACGAAGGGGACGTTCTTTGCGAGGAGTTGATAGAGCGGAGACGCAAGTTCCGCGAAACCACGTATGAAGCGCCGGAAGTAAGAAGATAACCCAAGGAAGCTGCGCAGGTCCTTCTGACGTAGTGGACGAGGAAAATCGAGGACAGCGACAAGCTTCTCGGGGTCGGGCCGAATTCCTTCTTTGCTGACAAGGTGGCCGAGAACCTTGATTGTCTTGCTAGCAAAGGTACATTTCTTGGTGTTAAGCTGTAGACCGGCTTTTGCAAGGCATGTGAGGACTTCGTCAAGACGTTGTAGATGCTGCGAGAACGTGGATGAAAACACTACTATGTCATAGAGATAGCACAGACATGTTTTCCATTTCAAACCACGCAATACGCCGTCTATCATGCGTTCGAAGGGGGCGGGCGCATTACAGAGTCCAAAAGGCATCACATTGAACTCGTACAACCCATCTGGCGTTGAAAAGGCGGTCTTCTCTTTATCAGACTCCGACATTGCTATCTGCCAGTAGCCTGACCTAAGGTCGAGGCTGGAAAAATACTCTGCGCCCTATAATGAATACAGTGCATCGTCGATCCGAGGGAGGGGATAAACATCCTTGCGCGTTATTTTGTTTAGCGCACGGTAACCGACGCAGAAACGCACTGTCCCATCTTTCTTTTGAACGAGAACAACTGGGGATGACCAGGGACTCGAGGACGGACGTATGATGTTGCGTCGTAGCATGTCTGAGATATTTTCCTCGATGATCTTGCGTTCTGCCTGAGACACGCGATATGGACGCCGATGTACAATACGAGAGCCGTCAGTCTGAATGCTGTGAGTAGCGGTGGTAGTCATGCTGAGGGCGGCGAGTTCACGTCAAATAGAGAACGGTGTCTATTTAACAGGGCGAGCAAATCTTCAGTTTGATCAGGTGTTAAGTCATTGCTTATTGTTGTCGACACAGGTGTGGCAGAGGCATTGAATGGCAATGATTGCGACTTCGGAACATCGTTGTGGCTGTTGTTCGGAAGAGTAACAATCGCAACAGGCTCACTGTCGACCGCGCAAGATACTGTTGAGCCACAGGGGAGCAGTACACACTCGGGCGTTTGATTTATGGCGGTTAGGTACGTACACCCATCGAAGAAGCGAATAAGCCCCGGTGTGATCACAATGCCCCTACGTAGGGTATGACCGTAAGGGAGAATTAGTACGTCGCCATTCACAATGTCGGTACAATTAACACTTATAATTTCTTCGATGTGTGGCCGAAGTACATAATCTGACTTGGTGACAAGGCGGATGCGTCCATCTTGTTCAAGCGGAGAAGAGTCAGTGGCGTTTAGATGCAGGAGGCGCTGATGACATGATATGAAAGCGGACGCAGAAGACAAGAAATCCCACCCAAGAATGAGAGCGTGGGTGCACTCACGAAATACCGCGAAAACAATGTGATGACGAATGCCTTCTATGCAGACACGAATGGTACACTGTGCAAGTGGACGAATGAGAGCATTGGTCGCCGCACGTAGATGGGCCGCCATAAGGTGTGGTGACTTTTCGAAGGCGAGAACAAAAATCAGCACGAATAATCGAAACGGCAGCGCCAGTGTCTACAAGAGCCTCAACACGTACACCTTCTACAAACACTACTATCAAATTCGATGGCCGCTCTGGAGGAATTGTTAGCTGTCCAAGGGATGCAGTTTCCCCTCCTAAAACTGCATTGGGGAGTTTTCCGCGTGGGCGTTCGTGGAATGGGAGGCGGGCCGTAGAGGCGACACTGAACGGCGACCTGGCGAAGGCGACCTGCGGCGAGACGTACGGGAATTTCCAGGCATGTCCGTATGGTAAGTAGGTGACGGTGAACGGTAATAGGACGATCGGGAGGGTGGCCGTAAGCAGTTCATGGTCGGACGGAAGCTTCGAT